TAATAATAATCCCACATTACAGCATGGATTTCTCTGTTCTTCATGATTCTTTCTACTATTGTTAATCCATTCTCCAAGATACGCTTCATTTTTTGAATCTATCCAGAAACCTTTGACATTTTTTGATGTCCACAAAAAGCATTTAAAGAGGAGTGGGTGGAAGGAACAAGGTGGAGGCCAGACTAAGAATGGGGAACCCACCTTTGGACTTAAAGTTTTTTTCCCCCTTTCTCTCTCTGGTTATGTTAAGGCGGGACTTCTCAGGATGGATTTTTTCCCCCAAAAAGAAGCCATTAGAACTTACTTGTCTCAGATGCTGCATTTTTGCTGTACGTCTAAAGTGCGCTAGAGTGTAGAACTTGTTCCAGTGTCAGGAGTAAGTCACATATTACAGAGGATTTTGAGAAGTAAGAACTGTAGCATTCAATAACATAGGAGAAGGCAATTCCTACATTTTAAATCTCCTTCCTTTTACTTGCTGAGGTCAGAAAAATAAAAACTGAAATTATACACAGGGTACTGGGGTGGAGTAGCAATGGAAAAGACAATCATTGATATGTTGATCCTTGAGGGCAAAAGTCCAAAATCTGTAAGTAGGCAATGTTTTTATTAGGAATAGCTAAATGCCTCAAAAGGGTGTGCTAGATGTCTCCAAAACTGTTTATCAGACAGGAGTTACTTAGAAGGGGGAAGAAAAGGGGATTGAAAGAATCCAAAACGTCTAAAATTAGACTGAATGTTTCAGTCCCCAGTTCTGCAACTGAAAGGTAGTTTCAGGATGGAATCGTGGACAGAATGCAGAATCGGTGCAAAACGTTAGTGCTGCCCATTCTTCTAGACAGAGATACAATGCCAGTATGAATCAGCCTTCCCCAGCTGGGTGACTTCCAGATATATTTGGGCTACAGCTCCCATCATTTCCAGCCCACATGGCAATTGCTGCATGAGGATGATGGGGTTTGTATTCCAAGCACATTATGAGGCTTCCAGCTTGAGGAAGAGAGATGCAATCCATCTGATTATCTGCAGGAACCTGGCATTAACCAGTCTTGGAGGACAGAGAAGAATGGGTTCCATTTAGTGGAGCGATATTGCAGGGCTCTGCAAGTTTGTTTGCCAGCTTCCCTGCAAAGAAATCAATCCTATTTCCAAAGTAGTGCTAGTTTTAAAGTGCTTTCTCTGATGCGTGACTTTTCCTTTGAATTATTAGATAAGCACATTGGCTGTGGGACTGCTGCAGAAAATAAACCAGCTGTTGGCGTCATAGCACATTAAGTTGCACATATCAGTTGGCGGATGTTTTACTAAATCACTCATCGTTGGACTCCTCTCCTTCCACTCCTCTTTTTTTATCAGCCGCTTGGGCTTTCTAGGGGCTTCACAGAAAGCATGTGCTCTTGGTCAAATGTAAAACAGTTAAACAGGCAAGGTGAAAAAACATACTTGATCACATCTATCCATGGAGACAAGGGGAAAAAAGCAGTGTTTAGTAGTAAGATGTAAAAATGATGAAAGAGTTGTCAGTCTGGCTGTTAACAAATGATGTGCTCAGTATTTAATTTAGTAATGCATCAATGATTCTTAAAAAATGGTAAAGGATGAATTTTTGACACACAGAAGGACCAGTTTTCTGCACACACACAAGCCTACACATCTGTATATCTAGACCATCTGCTGACATCTAGTGGAACATTGATCTCAGCCACAAAATACAAAATAAGGACGAAGTTGCACCAGAAACTAGAATAGGATGAGCTGATTACAATATCTGGAGCAAGGTTAAGTGGGCAGAGGATAAACCTTAAATAGAGAAGAGGGAGGGTAACAAACGAGTTCTGCTGATCTCCAACCCAGCTTTCCAGGCTGACTCTTCCTAAGCCCACCCAGGTCTTCTTTGGTATATTTCTAACACAAGCAATTGATTTCCCTCATTCTATTAACCACAGTGAGTTGAGTTCACATGGTGTATTAAGCCATTAGCCATGGATATAAGCCAGAATGGCTGGGGTCACCCAACATGTCAATGCAAAACTGGGGGGAAAAAACACATTATGGCTAACTGAGTTACATAGTTCCAGACTCTAATCTGGAAAGAAAATGATATCCTATAGAGGTTCTGGGACACATTTCTAGTAATAAGGGGAAGCAAGAGAGAAAAGGTAAAAGTTATTTCAGGAAATAGTTGAGCATGGCAATGATAGAGATCTTTAAACACCATGAGATTGTGAATGTACAAGGTACATTTGTCCCTCCTATCTCACTTTGCCAGATAAATCTGACGTTATTTGGGAAAAGCACTTGTACCCAGGGAATATCAGCCTCACATTCTCAGCTGGTTATCATCCGTGGCCAATGAACAAATAATTGGCCAACTTTCTGTAGGGCTATCATAGGGTTGTGATGGTCAAAGGTTATCTTCTCTCCCCAGATTAGAATGATAGGCTAGCAAGGAAAGGACTCTGCCTCCATTCTGTGAACCAGTTCTTTCTTTCCTGCTTTACAGGAAGTGAGACGGCTGATGCTGAAGAGAAGTTAATGAACCATCTCCTCAACGTTTCACGCTACAACAACTTAATTCGCCCAGCCTTCAACTCTTCAGAGTTAGTTGTGATAGAATTGCAGGTTATTCTGGCCCAGCTTATCAATGTGGTGGGTGTGGAGAACCCTTCCTGCTTTCAAACTATAAGTAATAGTAGTAAGGGCTTGTTACAATCATAGAGCAATATGTGTGGATGGTTTTCCATCATTATTCATAAATACAACAACAACAAAAGGTCCAAGTTCAAGGAAATGAAGGAATGCAAATTAAAAGACTGAGGCATCAATAAAATGATCACTTAAGCCCCCATTCCCCTCCCCTCCATTTGCCACAATTTATTTGCTATACTGCTTTTAAATTCCAGGGTATACTAACTGGGAATGCAGCTTACAGTTTTACTTATTTAAATATAGTTATATGAGAACCCCAGTCCTTTAGTAAGAAGCTGTGTGGTGTGCGTGTGTACATGCCTGGGTGTGTGTGTCTGTAAAACGAAGTACTGCATGTCTGTAATCCAAAACTGTACGTCTAAAATAATTCTGTCTTCCAGTATTGGATAATATATATTTTTTTAAATTCATGTTTTCATTACTGCTATGGTCTACCAAATCCCCTAGAATTAAGCTTCTATCTTCAGAGCCCAGGATGATAGTGTAATCTCTGTCTCCTTCCTCCTTCAGAACGAACGGGAACAGATCATGACCACCAATGTCTGGCTCAACCAGGTAAATCCCTATCGATATACCCAATATTGCTTAGAACTCTAAATTGTATACCTTTTGGCTATAATTCACACCTTTAGGAGTGATCTTTCATGGAGTTTACATTTGAACCCATACGTGTGAAATTGCACTCCAAGGAGTCTCAATGAATCCCAGAGATTTACCAGGAAGGTGGGGGGGGGGAGGGATATTTTCTCCCTGTCCTTATAGATTCCCAGCCAGCTCAGAATTCTGAGTGAGGGAGACCTACATTGCTGGAGGGTTCTGCTACACAATATATAATTCATTTTTTAATCAAGAGTGAGCTTTTGCCAAACATAACTTTGTTTTGTACTGTAGGTAGGAATGAAACAAACAAAAACATTCAGCCCAAAATTGTTAGCCATCTGTACATCCACAAACAAGCTTGAAAGTCTGCGTGAAGACTATCACAAAAGCTGCACTGGTCTAGAAAGAATGAATCTGACAGCTCATTTTGAATCTAACCATTTCATGGAAGGCGTCAGCTTTCATGAGCTGCAGCTCACTTCCTCAGATGCATGAAGAGGCTCAAGTGATATGGAATTTAATGACAACGGGGTGAGGCATCTAGCCCCATAATTGTCACCACCCTACCTTCCTCCCCTCTTCCTTATCACAACATCCTTAAATCCCACATCAGTTATGCTTCATGCATTTGAGGAAGGGGGCTGCAGCTCATGAAAGCTGATGTCTTCTGTGAAATTGTTAGAAGGTGCTACCGGACCCTTTCTGAATTTTATGCAAAGCAGGAACAGTAACTGAATGTTGTTATGCACTGCTTTTAAGGAATGGACTGATTATCGCTTAGCCTGGGAACCATCAGAATACGAAGGCATAAATAAACTCAGGATACCAGCTAAGAAAGTCTGGCTTCCGGACATCGTGCTGTACAATAAGTAAGTTGGTGTCTCTTCATAAGATAAAGTGCATGAGGTGTCTCGCCTGCCTGATACCCAACACTAGTGTGAGATTAAAAAGAAAAAAAAAAGTTGCTTGGAGTCAATGTTCAAGTGAATCATTCTTAGAACCAAACTATGCATGTTTTGCATCCTAAGAAAATACACTTCACTGTTTTGCAGAATTGTTGCTCTGGGAGGAAGTGTTCAGCCCTAAATTGTTCCAGTGAACTTAATTATAAATAGATGCTCCCCCCATGAGGGCATTCTTAGCATTAAAAGGTTGACACCAGGCCATAAAATCAGGTTGACCTCCATGACTGTGGTATCGAGTCAATATGGATTGTGGCCGCCCATAACTATTGTTAAATAAATAAATAAATAAAAATAGTATTCCTTTTTTATGATTTTGCTTTTGGGTTTCTTTAGTGCTGATGGTACATACGAAGTTTCTGTTTACACAAATGTGATTGTCCTGTACAATGGAAGCATTTTATGGCTGCCACCAGCCATTTACAAAAGTGCCTGCAAGATCGAAGTGAAGCATTTCCCCTTCGACCAACAAAATTGCACCCTAAAATTCCGCTCTTGGACTTACGACCACTCTGAAATTGATATGATTTTGAAAACTGGCTCAGCCAGTATGGATGACTTCACTCCCAGTGGTGAGTGGGACATCGTGGCCCTCCCGGGACGTAGAACAGAGAACCCTTTAGATCCAAACTATGTGGATGTGACATATGACTTCATCATAAAAAGGAAGCCTCTTTTTTATACCATCAACCTCATCATACCTTGTGTGCTGATCACATCCTTGGCCATCTTGGTGTTCTATCTGCCATCAGATTGTGGAGAGAAGATGACATTGTGCATTTCTGTTTTACTTGCTTTGACTGTTTTCTTGCTCCTGATTTCCAAAATCGTCCCTCCGACTTCCCTTGATGTTCCACTGATTGGGAAGTATCTGATGTTCACCATGGTGCTGGTGACATTCTCAATTGTGACCAGTGTCTGTGTGCTGAATGTCCACCACAGGTCTCCCAGCACTCACGCAATGCCTCTGTGGGTCAAGGTAGTCTTCCTTGAGAGACTGCCAAGCTTCCTGTTCATGAGGCGACCAGACAATCATTCGGCAAGCCAACGGTTGACTAACCGCAAGAGAAACAAAGCTGAGTCTCTTCCTTCCGATTTCTCCAACACGTACAAAGGTTGTACTTACTTTGTGAACACAGCAGCAGGCCAAAAGTACGACCTGAAACTGACAGACAATCCTGATCACATTAGCAGCCATCAAGATCTGAGGTTACGATCATCAGTGAAATATTCTCCTGAGGTCCAAGAGGCAATTGATGGAGTCAGTTTCATAGCTGACCACATGAAGAGCGAGGACAACAATGAGAGTGTAAGTGGCACAAAACACTCTGCCCCCCCCTCACAAATCCTAGAATTTCCTTCCTCCCTGGAGCTTGAGACACTCCTTCTCTTGTGCAGAAGGAAAATAAGGACACACTCATTTTGAGGGATGATGATTGGGTTGTTTGATGGATCTGCCACCATGGAGATGATTCCAAGTGGCATCTGTGACAAAAAGTAATAGTATATTAACTCTTAGCAGAAGTGAGCCTCTTCTGAATTCTTGTCAAACATGCCCTCTTGGGCATATAGCAAGGCAGAGGTGGGTTACTCAGGCCCCACTCTTTTGCAGCTCTTGCGGGGAGAGGCACAGCAGTGCCAACGCCCATTTGAAAAAAACAAACCAACCCAACTTCTCCCATAAAAGGGTTGAAAACATCAGCCTCCCACTCACTAGTAAGAGCACTGCGTTATTATCTTGTCACCCTTAGCAGCTATTTTTTTTAGTGCAGTAAATTATTGACAGACTTTTTTGCAAGAAGAAAAGTGCCAAGAATCCAGTTCGTTTTTTTAACTGAAACATAAAATTCCATAATTATATAGAGCTCAGTCCTGATTTTTTTGAGGGGTGAGTTAAGGTGTTTTTTTCCTCATACCCTGTGTGTGTATTTGAAGCATTGCAAACCTCCTGGTACCTACCCATTTTTTTAGCCTGCACCTTCCCAGTTCATTATTACAAGGGACGATTATTGAATTGTGAAAGGGAAGCCATGGAAGAGTATTGAAAAACTGATCTGGGGTGGAAGCAAGTGATGATGTTGCCATTGAGAGTTTATTAAAGATATTTAATTGGTTTATTTTTCCAGGTCATTGAAGACTGGAAATATGTTGCCATGGTGGTGGACAGGCTGTTCCTCTGGATATTTGTCTTTGTGTGTGTCCTGGGAACAACTGGATTATTCCTGCAGCCCCTTTTTCAAAACCACTTGCCTGCTGTAACCCCGTAAGCTGAGCTGAATCTGGCCCCAATGACTGCTTGCTCACAGGATGGGAAGGATTCTGTTCTGAGTCCCACAATATCAATTTCAAAATTATTTATTTGGATATTTTTTTACTGCCCCTCCCCAATTAAAAATAAATAATCCATGCAACACCATTACTGAGAATACCATCTACACAAAGTAGGTTGGAAGGACATCTATACTCCCTTTTGGCTGGAACTCTTAAAACTGTCTTGTTGGGCTTTTCCAGGAAAAAAAAATGTACCACTGTTAATTTTTTATTAAAGCACTCTTCTTCAGCTGGTTCTGCAGGGTTCTGCAATGGAGTCGTGATGGGCTAGCCAAAAAATGGATTGTGCAAGGCACACAGCCCTGGTTTTCATTTGGTTTTGTGAACAATTTTAAAGGGGAAAAGCAAAGAAAAGAGTTCTGTTCAGACATGGTGGTCTTTCTTACTAAGTATCATTCTGCCCATCTGGTCCAGACATGTAAAGAGGGTAAGCTAAGAGTCCCAACCCTGTGAGATCAATGGGTGTGGAGTTTTCTATAGTAGGCCCCATACTTTGAAACATGGTCCTCCTAGAGATATATCAGGCCCCACCCTCCACTCATTCCAGAAGGTCCTGAAAACCATTTTCAGCAGGCCTTTGTCCCATGGAAAAAACTGAGCAATCGTCTGATTATCGTCACCACTATCATCATCATGGTTTTATTGTGGACTTGGGGTTTTGTTGTTTCTTATTGCGTACCACCCCAAGTCTCTTATCAATTGGGGTAGTATTCAAATATTGTAAACAAACCAATAAATAAAATGCTAGGGATAGGAGACTGAGATTTAGACTATGGTCTCTTTCCTCCCATCTACTGACTCTTGTTTGAGGTAATCTGTGAACCCCAAATGGTCATTATCTACATCTCCCAGGACACTCAGGTAGTATGGCAACAGTGAGGGATTCTGGGAATGTAGATCAGCCACATCTGGAAGGCCATAATTTTCCCATCCCTGACCTTTGTATTGGATAACTGGAAGCATTTCACAAGGAAGCATGCCCAACATGACAAGAATAAATACAGGAGAACCTCAAATTTATGCATTTCCCCTCTTCTTCATCCTGTTTGAGCAGAGCCACTTGTAAGTGTCTGCAAGCTTATACTCCCATGTCTGTCAATCACAGCCAGGGGCTAATGTTAACTATGGTTTATGAAGAAGCTGTTAAATTCACTCCCTAAGGATCTGGCTTTATTTCAATGAACCCAATTATAATTGAGGGTTCAGATTTTGTGCCAATCTGTGTTTCACCCAGGGAACTGGAAGCCTCCAATCTTCTTGTGGTCAATTGCGGAAGTGGGTAGAGGAAGAGAAGATCTTGGTTATAAAATCAGAGAAAATGGGTTTAGATTTCAGGAATTCAAACAGAACTGTGCATCATAAAGCAAAGTCCTCATCTTGCAGAACCAGGAAAGTTCAGGGCCTTGGACATCATAGACCTGAAGTTACCACCTGAAATATTCCTTTATTGCTGTTGCTCCCACAAAAGTTTGCAGACAAGCACACCAGTAATCCCACCCCTGACTCTGGTTCTTAAAGTGTCCTTTTCTGAAAATCTTTAAGTCTCCTGAAAAATTGAGAGGTCAGGAAAGTGATGGGAATTCATCCACAGAGATTTAAGGTGGTTATAGGGCTATAGCTTTAGATTAAGAAGATATAGAAAGACCTACTGAGGTCTCTTGCTAAAAGAGATGGTCTGTGGTTTGGGCTTTGTTGACTGCAGAGTATTGCAAAGCCCGAGGCAGAATGATTAAACTCACAGTAGCCCATCCTAGCAACACTAAACCATGATTGAGCATTATGGGAGAGGCTGCAGGTGTGTTCACACTCTCTTAATCTATGCATGTTCAGAGTAATGACTGAAGAGTCCTGGCTAAAGCATTCATACGGAGAAAAGGAGCCAAAAGGGAAATAAGATGGCTGCGGGGGATCCACCTCTGAAATGTCTGAAACAAAATTAACATGCTTTGTTTTGGTCATTTGTAGAAATGGAAGGAGGTAATATGTAATGTAATGATATGGCATTAAGTGCCCAAGGACTATGTATTAAAAGAATATTTTACTTAAATACTTTGTGTGGGAGAGGTTTTGTTATGTCACATAGCTTTCTGTTGCTCCATTTTTCTTTCCATTTTTAAGATCTGTTCATATAGTATATCATGATACAGACATATATTTCCTCCTCCCCAAGGGTTAAGTAGTGCCATATGTTCAAGATGGGGCAAAATGAAGTCCTAAATTACTCTAATCAATGGGACTATATGCTGGTAAGGGTAAAAGAAATCAAGGGCTGCAACCTTAGTTGTTTCAGAATGAGGAAGCACTGGAGATCAGCACTACCTCAGCAGTATTTCTAATATTCACTTTATTTGCAAATATATCATCAGCACAAAGAAACACATCGCAATACAGTATATGTTTTCAGTGGTTAAGTCAGTTCCCCAGTACAGGACCTTCACTGTGTCTAAGTCCACCTTCAGGCTTGGTTTGTATATTGTGCTAAACCATGGGATTTTCTTTAGCCATGGTTTGACAAAGCCACAACACACTCATCATCCAAACACTATGACTCATAAACCACAATAGTTCTAAACACAAACAAGACACTTTATGGCTTAGCATAGGAGGAGGATCAAATCACCAACTTCATATTCCTTTCTGGCTCAGAGTCTACCAAGAGGTGACTGGAGATCTCTGACTGGTTCTCCACATACCTCCTAAAAGCAGCTGTTGGGCTCTGATACATACAAGCCAGAGTTATGGGATATGGGGCTTTCAAGAGAGTTTGTGGAAAAATTAAATAAATAAAAGGCCCCATGAAATCATGAACCTTCCTCCAGATAAATCAATTATCATCATCTGCAAAGCAAGAAGGGAAAATCAATACCTGCAATAATGGGAGACAAGCTGCTGTTGGATAGTTGGGAGGGGGGAGGAATTTCACCTGCCTGAGCAAAACTCAAGGTTCTTCCATAACTTCAGTGCAGCAACTGAGGAAGCCTTGCTTCTTTGAAAGGTTGACATGGCTGGATAGAAATATTAATTTCCTAAAGAGATGAGGCTAAAAGCAAAGCAGCATTCCTGCAAACCCTAAGTTTCATTCTCAAAAACCAACACAACTCTTTTCGATCTATTCCACAAAACAGAAACAAAGCATCTTTCTTATGCATGGGACTATTATTTTTCAAACCCATGAGCCTCCTACTTAATTTTTTAAATTCATGTTTAAATGCCAGGAGCCCAGACGGATTGATCAGCCTGATATGAGAGGTTATGAGGAAAGCTGTCATTCACTGGACGTGATCACTCCAAAACTAGGGTCTTATATTTTTTTGAGGCCAAAGACCATGCTTCGCATTTCAGTGATATAGCAGGAACCACACTTTAAAAAATGGGTGAGGACAGGACAAAAACAAAACATGAAATTCTTTCATTTGCATGTAGAAGTAAACTAAGTTCAAGCAATTATTCTTACTCTATGTATTTAATCAATTCATCATACAATAGGGCCCAAATCTTCTGGAGGGTGCCTGTCTTCAAGAAAAAACTGGGGATTGACTCATCTGTTTTAAGCACGTACACACGCACACTCTCCTCCCCAGCCACAAGAGCAACTCTGGAAACTGCTCCCATGGGGCTGTTTGGCTCCTGGGATTGACAGGCTGGTCCAAGTTCTAAGCTCCAGCCATAACTCATTAACATCAAGGGTCTGCGGCAGCTAATTCATTAACAGGGTTTGCCAGTCAAGTCTGCTCCAGAAGGCTTATTTGAACGCTAGCCAGCTCAGCAACCACAATTCCATTATCCTGTTTTAATTTCACCAGACCTATTTCTTGGCGGGGGGGGCACACAGGGAAGAGAAAAACCTTTGGATGGGTCCAATCCTGCCCTGCATGGCCAACTGCCAAAGTGATCCAGCTTCTCTGGTACTGTATGTGAATAAGCCTCTCCTTTTTTTGCCTATGCAGCCATGTGGACAACCAGCGCCCGTCCCTCACTGGGGGCTGTGAGAAAAGGGGCAGGGCTGTCATTAGAGAGAAAGAAAAAGAAAGAGAAGGAGAAGGAGCTGGCAAATCCAGAACTCTGCTTCAGAGTGCTGATGGTTGTCCGTTTCTAATGAATGTCTCCCTCTGAATCCAGCCTGCCTTTCCCTTCTCATAGTCTCAGCCTGTAAAATGCCACCAGCTGGCTATGTCTCCAGAAGGGTTTATGGCTGAGCGGCAAATTCAGAACGCCATGGTGAAGAAGTCTGGCATGCAGCTTGCACTGCTTCCCCTTTTCTTCTTGCTGAGAGGTGAGCAAGATTTCTGGCTTTTGTGTGCTCTGTTGGGGTTGGGGTTGAGGGCAAATGGGAGATGGGAAAATAAGTCCTTCACAAGAGCTCAGAGATCTCTTTTACCCAATCATGGGTTTTGCACAGGATCAATATGTGGTGCAGAAATCTCTCTCCCCCTTTGCCTATTGTCTTAAAAAACAAAGAGTGGTTTGGGAATATAACAGTTCTTGTAATTTTCTAGGAACTGGCTTTGTACGTTTAAATGGGATAGTGTAGAAAAGCCTTGAATTTAGTGCACTCTGCGTGTGTTAAGCCTTAAATTTCAGCTACAGTATGTTGGTTCTAGAATCCGATCAAATAGAATAGTGGAGCTCAACCCTGAGCTACGTATATTCTCTACTATTGGATAAAATAATGGAGGAGGATAGTGGGTGTTCAGATAAACTCAACAGGTAAACTGACCAGGGAAAAAAGTACAGATATGATAAAATAAGGCAAGAATGAAAAACAAGTATTTTATGCCAAGGGCAATATTTAATGTTCATAAAAGTCCCTGGAGGCCATTAGTAAATATATCTTTAAGTTAAAATTCTATGCATCAAAGAAGATAGACTATTTTGTCCCTTAAAAGGGTGTCTTTCTTTGAAGAACTTTAATATGTACATACAAATTGACCCAGCATTAATCATTTTTGCTAGCAAGAACATTGCAACCTTCTTTTTTCCAAGTAAGCTGATGAAGGATGTAAAACTTCATGCAGTTCAAATGTTTGAAGGAGGAAGGCTCAGTATCAGTAGCATATAACATTAAGTATAAGTTAAACAAATTATTTTTAAAGCAGTTTTAGATTATGGTCATTTCCTCTTTTTCTTTTCCTCCTAGCCACTATAAGGTGTTGAACTTTATCTAAATGAATATAAGTGGCTATTTTTATATTTATGGTTTAAGCATTAGTTATTGAGAAGGAGCTGCTTCAATTATCCTAAACACAGCTTTCTGAATAAACATTTAGCCATTTAAAGTTCCTGAAAATTCCATTCACCTGAAACAATTCTTTTCTACCTGGCTTGGGCTAACAAAACCTCAACCCTGCTACACACAGAATGCATATGGATATCTAATAAAACTATCTTTTGCTGCTTACATTACTGTAGATCACATATTCAACGAGACTGAATGTACTATTTAGAAGCCCAGTAATCGTAGCCATATATAGGCTCAGATCCAAGAAACAATCCTCCTTCCATTGGCCAAACAGAGATGCAAACATTTCTAAGCCCCAGATGGAAGGACTTCATGACAGCTGTTAAGTTTGTCTCGACTCTCCAAAGCAACTGAATGCTTCTAAGACAGTGTAGCAATGTACTGCTTTGATGAAAAAATCAACAAAAACAAAGTTTCAGAAATGTCAGCAGACAAGTCTTAATCATAACTTATTTGCTCATGCAAACGCTGCATAATCAGAGGAACATGGGAAGTTGCTTTAGGTTAAGGTAAATTTCCATCAGTCCACCAACTCAAATTCTTCAAAATTTCAGACCTGTCTGGACATGTTTTATCTAGAATCTTTTGGAGCTGTCCACGTCCACCAAATATCAAGCTTGAACCACGGAGGAGCAATGTTTGCACATAAGAGCTTTTCAGTTCCTACTTTCCAACAGCAGCTTCTATCTCGCCACCAAATGTTGGGAGCCCCCCTTCCAGAATAGCACCCTCTATGATATAGAGGACTTGGTGCATCTAAGGAAACAGTGCCTATTATTTCCATCTTTACAGTGGTATGAACAAGAGCCTTTCCTACTTTTTCGCTTTGTTTTTTCCTTCTTTTCCCCCTTGATTTCTCATTTTTTTCCTCAGTGAATTTCTTCCAGTTATAACCTTCCCAAACCCAGCCTGCAAGGGGATTTTGACTCAGGCTTCCCTTTGGGTGTGGTATGGGAACCACCACCAAATATTTCAATATGTACTGATGCACATTTCAGCAGATAGACAGACAGACAGATGAGAATATGTGTAGCTCAGGGTCGAACTGTGGAGTCCATGCGGTTCTCTGAGCTTGGTTGTTTTCTTGCAAACGTTTCGTTACCCGGCTAGCTAATGTTTGCAAGAAAACAACCAAGCTCAGAAAACCCCAAGGACTACACACACACACACACACATTTAAAAGCAGCAATTCTGATGAAGTCTTTGAATTGATTCAAAGACTTCATCAGAACTGCTGCTTTTAAAATATATATTTTAATATACATCAATATATATATTTTACGTGCATCTATTGGCATTTTATCTCTGGTTACGTTCTACATATGATAGGCTAGCAAGGGCCTTCTATTGATGTAAGCATGCGTAAAGCAAAACGTTTTGTTATTATGAATTTATTTTTTAACAACTACCACAACAATAAAGCAAACCCCGTTCACGCGAGGGAAAATCTAACACTGGAGCTAAATGGATCAAGTCCAGAGTTGCAGCACCCAAAGTGGAGACCATTTCACTGACACAAAACACAGGGAAGTGCCTTCTGCCAGATTCGCCTGTTTTTGTCCAGGTTTGTTTGTTTTTTAATTAGGTTGCATTTTCCAAGGTTCTAATTTAGCAGAGAGAGCAAAAAGAGAACATGCAAACAACTCCCCCCGCCCGACTGCAGGGTCACATTAATTACATTTCTCCAACATACATTGCAATTTGTGCTTTTTCTGGCTGCCACATCGGCGTTAAGGAAATTAAATTGGATAGCTCCCTCCTTCTGGATAATTGTAGGAAGAGAGCCGGGTTAGTCTACAATAGCCCAAAATCAGGAGGAGTCTGGTAGTACTTTTTCAGACGAACAGATTTTATTAAAAGGCATAAGCTTTTGTGAACTACGGCTCAATTCAGCCACTCCATGCATCTGATGAAGTGAGCTGTAGGTCACAGAAGCTTATGCCTTTTAAGAAAATGTATGAGTCTGAAAAGATGCTACAAGACTCCTTCTAAACAATGAACCCTCAACTATTGTCTTAGGTCCTAATCTGCTGTCTGACTCAGGATCAGATTTTGGTGGCAGTGGCGGTTTTAGGGAACTCAGAGCAAGAGCTGTTGTGGGAAGTTAACGGTTATTTAATCTCCAGGGAAAATTCTCCACACAGCAGAAGGGAAAAATTATCGCTTAACTGCAAAGGCCATGATTGTGCGTACAAAGGGTTCCAGGGATGATCCAAGATGTTTGCAGCTAGCCTTGAAAGACTACATACCCTATTTCCACACACCTCAGCATACATCCAGGTCTGGTTCAGAGGTGGTATAGAAACTAGATCAAAACCTGAAAGAATTGCTTGTAGATAGAGACAAACTCCACTAGTTGGTCCGGTAGTCTGAGACAGCATAATTCAAGTTCTTAGCAGGTGTAATACTCAGACCAGAATAAGAGAAATGTATGGCATGTTTTCTAGGCGTGTTTTGCTCTGAAGACGAGCACCGGCTTTATGATGAATTGTTCGTCAATTATAACAATATCATCAGGCCCGTTGAAAATGTGTCTGATCCTGTGATGGTTTGGTTCGAAGTATCTTTGTCTCAGCTGGTAAAAGTGGTGAGTAACTGGAGAATGACTCTGTGTTTGTAGAGCATTATCTTTTGCCTCAAAAGCTTAAAATGTTGGGATGGAAACAGGAGCTCAGATCTGGTTGAGCCTCCTCAGTTTCAGGTATCCCAATTTTGAACAAACTAGATAGTCCATTAAAAAAAAAAAGGAAACCCAATTCTGACACCAGGCATTGGCAATATCCAATAAAAACAATATGGGGGTGTTTCAGCTCCAATAACCTTTTGTTATGCCCATCCTTGAACAAAGGAATGACAAAGGATTCATTGCAAAACCAATGAATTTGAACTTCTTTGAAGGTTAGTCATTATTTCTCAAGGATTAAGAGACAAATGGTTCTCACTACTCTACGTTATTTGTCAACTTGATCAATTTATCAATGCAAGCAAAGTCTGTGTCACCTCTATAAACTGTTTTGTGAATTACCACTATTTATAAGTCATCCATTATCATCACTTGGACATCTTAGATTTCATTTCTGTCTGGCCTCCTTGGCTATTATTCTTTCCCCCTCCCAAAATATCTACTGCAGCATAATACTTTATGTAACTGCTGCAGTTGATAAAAGCCCATAAAAGACAATGCCTTGATTATGCCGGTCTTTTAGACGACAGAAGTCTTTTTTTCTGCCACAGATTAACTGGAAGCATTACTGTTTCTAAGTTTTGAGGGGGGATTAGTGATGGTCCCATTGTATAAAAGATACTCAATATTTATTTAGCCATCCCCCCCCGATTGCTCAAGAGGGACCATATATCTATTGCTCCAAACATTCCCTTCCCCAAACATACCCTTCTTTCCCATATTTCCCATCTTCTGCAAACATACCCTTCTTTTCCATCTTGTATATAATGCAGCATTTCTCAGCCTTGGCAG